AGTTTCTCCTAAACTTCCTGTTAGCTCTCTACTGGTATCTTAGATTTATACCTTCTCGTTTTAGCCTCACCACCAAGTGGAAACAACCTATCAACATCCATCCTGTCAAGCCCTTTTATGATCTTGAATCTCTCACATCCCCTCTCAATTGTCTCAACTCGAGAGAACAAAACCTGCAACTTTTCAATCTTTCTTGATAGCAGTATCAACTTCATAATGGTTGTGCTATTGTGTTGTATGTACAAGATATTTTTCAGTGAAATAATGTATAATCAGATAGCTTGCTAGGTGTTTGTGACTGAAAAGTTATACTGCAATAATATATTGAGGTGCTGTAGTGAAAGTAGCATTGGGCTGAAAGGTCAATTTCTTTTCTCCTGAACTTAGATTTTGTATAAAATGGAAAAAATGATTTCTCAATAATAAATCCAGGTTCGTTGGAGTGGATAGCTCCAATATTTATACTTAGCAGTATTCTAGACTGGGAAGCAATGCCTGTGTTCATGTTTAATGGGTCATACCTTGCTTGAGTCAAACTAATCTGAAAGTCGCGGTTGACTTAGTTTCTCTTTCCTATATTTGTTTTTTATTTTTTTCCTATACGCGCATAGCTGTTAACACACCAAAGTAAAATACAGAAGCAGGTGCGTCTTTTGCAATTCCTGACCATTCACAGCAGAAATGTATGTATTGAAGCTAGACAGGACAGGGACAGATTAGAATTTTGGTCTGGCGACAAAGCAGCACAGTGGGAGAATCGAGTTAAAGATGAACTGGGAACCCTATCATGGAATCCTGTTTTCTATACTGTGTTTGGTATTTTGCTCTTTCTTCACTCCTTCCTTCCCATCACTTTTAACCGAGTCTTGAAGCCACTATGCCTTTGGAATTATCTTTCAAAATCTCTTTGCCTCACTTCCTCTCTCCTGGTCTATGAAACAAATACTTCTAAACGCACACCTTTTCCACCTTCTTGCACTAAAATTCACTCCATTGTGAAGACACAGATAGAAACAGCGAATGTAAAAGCTGCCTTCATTCTCAGCTTATCTTTATAGAAGCACAGTCTAAAGTAACATCGATGTGAATGGTCAGTACTGTGGTTTCAAGAGACTGAAACCATTCTGTGGCTCATAGCAAAACCTGCTTGCGCTGGAGATGGGCTTGTTGGGACAGTTTCTCACTTTGGCTGAATTGGCTTGTTTGAAGCTGTTACTTCCTATTTATTTTTGTGTTGACATTGTTTGTTATGTCAGCCACTGCAAGATAAGGTATTAATACTTTGCTTGGAATGTCGTGCACTTTGAAACACTTAAGCATTACAGATTCCAACAAGTCATTGAAAAGCAAACTATGTGGTGAGAAGCAATGATTTATGCCAAGCTGTGCCAATGTTAAGTGCACTGAAACCCTACCAAGTGTGAAGGGCGCTATATGAATCCAAGTTGTTGTTGATTTGCATCCTTCCTTGAGTAAAACTATTTATGGATTCAAACAGAATGCCTGAAGGATGACTTTAACCTTTTGTTCATTACTCTCATTACTCATTATTCATACTCATTACTCAGTAACCTCATTACTTTTGTGCTGCGGTTTTCCAATTTTGTGCAGTCAATAAAACTTGACAGTGCTCAGCAATGTTTGTCAGCTTGTGGCTCTTTTGGGTAGATCTGAACAAGTCTTACTGAAATGGCTTGCTACTGCATGATGACAAAAAGAAAACTCTTTCACTTATATAACCCCCCCTCAGCTAGGAAAATGTCTCAAAGCACTTCACAAAGACAGAGTGGAAACACAAGCAAGATGGGGAACTAGGGAAGGTAGGAAGCAGGTGACTTAATACACCAATAATAATTTAGAAGGGTTTTTAAAGCAAAATGTGAATGTGCGAGGCAGAATGATTTTGTGAGTAAGTTCCAAAGAGTGAGCCAGTGTTTCTGAAAGCTTGGCTAGGGGGGGGGCGGTGTCAGGAGAATGTTCATTAGATCTGAGTTAGCAGACCAAAGTGAGAGGGTTGGAGAGTGGGACTGAAGTAGAACGTAAAGGTAAGGTGGAGCAAGGAAGTAGTAGGAACTTCAGAAGGGAGTGGTAGGATGGTCAGTTCAAAGATTTTAAAGTTAATACTTTGTGGAATAGGGATCCAATGGAGCCTGGCAAGGATGGGGTGTTATGCACGAAGTCTAAGAGAGCATATGAGCTGCAAAATTGTGGATAAGTTGGGTTGATCCAGGGACGAGAGCATTAGAAATAGTAGAGGACCAAGAGCAGATGGTGGCAATGCTCTCACACATTTCATGCTGAATTCTGCAGGAGTTCTTGGTACTTACTATCCACCTAGTGACCACTCATTTCTCTGATGTTTATTGTCTAATGACCAACTACTTCTTAGCTGGAAAAATAAGTGGGGTCTCCTTGGGACTGATACAGTAATATGCCTGGAATGCAGTTTTGGAATTGAATATGAATATGGCAGGCTCAGTAATCTGGTTCCTGAGCCAAGCAAATCCATAATAGTCCAAGGCACTCTCGAAAACTCCATCCTGGACTCCCCCATCTCCCACACTCCCCTCATTTAAGGCTCATCTCAAAACATACTTTCATCATTCCCCTTCCCAACTCCTTTGGTTCTTAACCCCAGCTCAGGTGCCCAACCAGCAGTCTTGTATGTTTTGAGATGATCTTCTGATGTGAAATGCGCTATATAAATGCACTAAATCACATTGTATTGTTCAGCTGCAATGGAGGAGCTAGCAACAGTAATGGCCCAATGAGGTGAATGGCCTCGTTCTGTGTTATTCTATGGTTCCAAATTTCAAATTCTTACTGTGTTTATCACCTGGAAATTTTTTAAAACATTCTGTTGAACCTGAATTGGACTGTGTTCTATGAAATGTACATAAGAGGTTTAATTGACTGCGGAAAACAGGAAAACAAGTGCACTAACCTAACAAGATACAGTATAGGTTAATGTGTCCTCGAGGCAATTTGTTCAAACCTATAAATAGGGGACAAAAGAGGTAAGCACAAATAAGCTGCTGTTTTAAGGCTGCTATGTGGAATACTTGGTGACCTGTTAGGTTGAGAGAATGTTTCAGTTCAGCTAAATGTGAGTGCAGGTAGAAAGGTTAGGACACCCGAATCACATGCTGCTCCACATCTGCCTCTCTGTGTTAATCTCATTTTGCACTATTTGTCTACAAATTTATCTAAGTGTACTTCCTTAATGACTAATTATAATGCACAGGTTCAGGGTTGTGAAGGCGATTTTTAAGAGAGAAACCAGGAAGTATATCTTTTTACAGTGATTAACAGCTGAAATGAATTACCAGGAAAGGTGATAGAATCCAGGATACTGGCTTTACATAGAATTACATAGACTGTATAGCCATTCAACCCAAATACTCTTCATATTCCATGAGTCTCACTCCCTTTATTAGCTTCTCATGTATACATTTATTTCGGTTTTGTTTAAGAAGCAGCTTGATGCTCTAAATGGGAAGATGGTAGGATGGGTATCCTGCAAGGATAAGATCAAATGGGCAGCAGATCTTCACCTGATTCAAGCAGAGAAAAGTGGGCTGCCATAGTCCCTCCCCTTCACCCTGGCTACTAACAGATAAAGATCACCTAAGGCAAACAAGAACCGTACAAGTACTAGCATCTGCTTAGAAACCCAGGTTTGATCTAAATTACTGGACTGCTTCATAAAGCAAATGTTTAACACCTATATTCGTAACTCGGAGAGGAATTGAAAGAATAAAATGAAACAGATGGATTTCGCTTCATCTATGATTTGCAGAAAATTAAAAACTTGTTTTTGCAATACATGATTCAATAAAGTTAGATCAATAATGCTATTGCTAAAATACATAAGAAAGAAAGGAAACAGAGAACCTTCTATCTATTTGTGTTTGGTAAAGATGGGACTTAAAGATCATGAATTAAATGCAAGTTGTTGTTGTTATCTTTAATTTGGATATGTAAGGTAGGTCAATTGGAATTATCCTTTAATCTGTTATACCGAATTGCGCAATGGTTATGTTTTTTCAATGTTTATGCCAGAGATGCTGCTTTTACATTGCTCTGTTGTACTCAAGGTCACTCAACGACATCTTGCACTTATATAGAGGAACACTCACAAAGGAAAACATCTCATAGTGATATTGAGACAGAGATCAAGCAGGGTCACTGAATGGGGGTTAGAAGGCACTCTGAAGGGGGTTGGAAGGCTGAAGATATGGTTGAAGAGAGAGGTTTTTAGACAGCTTTTGAAAGTACTCTAATAAAAAGAAAATGGTTTAAAAATAACTGGAATTAAAGCAGTAAGAAAATTAGTTATCCTTTAACAAGGTGACACTAGATCTAATTTGAGATATTTTTGACTGGTTTTCTAAATAAGGAACTCCTGTCATGCAAATAGCGGCCTCTGAGTAACCAGAGGATAACACCTGAAGCACGGGAACTCCATTGTGAAGCTACAGTATTTACATCTGGAGTGGAGTTTAATGGAAATAATAATAATAATCCTTGCTTTTGATATAGCGCCTTATCACACCTTCGAGATTTCTCAAAGCACTTCACAGAATATACTGTAAAATGAATTGACTGTATATTCTGTGGACGAAATGTGGCAGTCAATTGTGCACAGCAGTGTCCCAAAAGCAGGCTTCGATTGGGTAACCAAATTATTACCCCTGGAAAAACAATTTGCCAATCAACTAACAACCAGGTTCCTACTTACTGCTAGGTAAACAGAGGCATGTGGAATAAGGAAACTTAACGTTTTGCTCTGCCTGAGAATCAAACCCAGGTCTCTCGCTTGCAAGGCGAATGTTCTAACCACTATGCTACAGGAATAGGATTTCTTGCTAAATAATTCTGTTAAGAGGCGACACAGATCTGGCATGACCTACTATTTATATGAAAGAAGCTAAGAAGGAAAAGGTGGATAGACATTGCTGTAGTAGCTACTTACTAATTTCTTGAATTTATTTCCTTAGGCCTGGAAGAAACGCTGGTTCATTCTTCGCAGTGGGCGGATGAGTGGCGATCCTGACGTTCTGGAGTACTATAAAAATGACCATTCCAAAAAGCCAATCCGTGTTATAGACCTCCATTTTTGTGAGCAAGTCGATGCAGGGCTAACGTTCAAAAAGAAGGAGTTTCAGGACAGTTTTGTATTTGACATCAAAACAATTGACCGGACCTTTTACCTGGTGGCAGAGACTGAGGAGGAGATGAACAAGTGGGTCAGATGCATCTGCCAGATCTGTGGCTTCAATCAATCTGAAGAGAGCACAGGTAACCTATATGTACAACACTACAAAAGCCCCTTTATCGAGCATATACATTGGATTTTGTCTAAGTTACATTTTCCTTTTCCTTACATGTTCCATCTTAAATTTCCATATTTGAACATAGCAACCAGTAACTAATTTTGAGTGCTAGAACAAGGAGTCTTTGTCTGAAACTTTCGAGTAGCTAATTATTAAACATTCTTAAACATTTTGTAAAAATTGGTTCCAAAGATCTATTTTGCTAAAAAATGCTTCCGTTGAATTTATTGAATTTTATCTGTTAAAGTGAAATTAATTTGCACTGAATGAACATAGTGAGTTTGATTCAGACCTCAAAACTGCACATTTTTTGGTACAAAATCGCTAGTGTTACTTAGAGAAAATGTCTCTGTCTAAGTTTACCAAGAGACTGAAGAGAAGAAAAATGCAGGGAAGGAACTCCTTGTTCAACGTACTCTCTCGAGATCTATCAGGTCTATAAATACTACACTTTACAATTTATATCCTATTAAGCACTATAAAAGAGGCGCAATACCAAATGTAAGGATTATTATTTTATACAGTGCGTTTCACATCAGGAGGATGCCTCAAACTACTTAGAAGCTGCCCTTGGCCTTTAATCTTCCAGTTCTGTTTGCAAATACAAAGTGACATCAGTTCCCACTCTTACTTCTAATTCAGTAGGGGTGTAATATAGAACATTGAATATATTGCCTGCCATGCAGTACTTTACTCTTATCATTTATTTATATAACAGCAGCAATAATAAGTTTGCATGGAGCAACCTACAATATAGGTTCCTGTTTATTTATCAATTTTATTTTCAATTGCAATCATTTGTTAAAAATACTGGGATCAAATTTGCAATATGCCTAAACACATTCCATCCTTTATTTAAGAAATGGCATTGAAATGTGTTTTGAAATACCACTGGCTTCTGAATAGTGATAGTGGGTGAACCCATCTGAAAAACCTTTGGGTGGGAGGGGGGGGCGCTATGTTGGATTTCATTTTAGTGAGAATCACTAGTACTGAAACAACAACAACAAAATTACATTTATAGAGGGTCTTTCACGTCGGGAGGACGTCCCAAAGCGCTGAAAAATGGTCTTACTCATCCTACTCCGGGGAAACTGTCCAGCTCAATCTGAAATAGAAAAGTAGCCCATAAACAAGGCCAAAGACATCACTTTCTTGCAAAACTGCAGTCAAGCCTTCAACCAAATCTTCAAATTCAAACCCACTATCAAATAATGCAGAACATTTTTTTAACTACTCTACAAAACTAGTGCAATATTTCTGAGGATAAACAGAACTAGTTAAAGCTCCTTCTATGACTAAAGGTCCCAATAATAGACGATCAGTATCAGAGAGTTTTTGGCACCAGGCTCCATAAACTAAAGCTCATATCTGTTCAAAGAAAAGTGGCATATTTTCTCAGGGGAAAATAGCATGTCGAGTTGATGATTTAACCCTTAAAATAGTCAATATCCTCATGTCAAGTCTGAGCTGTTCTAGATTATTCAGCAGTCGTTTGTTTTTTGTCTTTCATTCATTGATTTTTTCCAACAAAAGTAACACTGAGGCAAAAACAAAGCCTGGAGCAAACAGGGTAAGAGTCAGTAATATAAGAACTGTGGAATAAGTTCATCATACCAGTAACATTTACACATTAATAGCAACAAGAGGAAAATCAGATACCACAGAGGCCTGGCATCCTTAAAGGAAGAACTTACGTTAATATAGCACCTTATCACGTCAGAACATCTCAAAGAGCATCATGAGTAATTTCTGTAAAGTGAGTTGGGTGATAAAGGAAACCTACAAACTTTACAGTCACAACGCTTCACAGTAAATCCTGTGAAGTGTTTTGAGACCACTTCCCAATGTGAAATAGGCTGTATTATAAGTTAGGTCAAAATCAAAATGGATGTTAATAAAATATTGAATTCAAGCCAATCCTCTGTAGCAATCTCGGTCCAGATCCTGAGACAGGAGAGTCTGCAGTACTCCAAGGAATTGATGATGATGGACCAGTCCTTGTTAGTAGGATTTAGAGAAGCTGCCTCGTCACTTGTGGCTGGATTTCTTCCCACTCGGCCCCTGTTAACCCTAGGAAAGATTGGAGAGATGGTAGAGTGTAAGGTATTCAAATGAGGGGAATGAGCCAGAAGAGAAAGGCGGTAGAGCAAGTGAGGTCCTAGAGATAAGGGCCACACCACCGCCATGGCGGTTGGGACATGGGGTATGGTGGAAGGCATAACCAGGTGGTGTGGCTTCAGTGAGGGGGAAGGTGATGCCTAGGGTGATCCAGGTTTCAGTGATGTCGATATTTTTTTTACCGATGAGGTAATTGATGGTCAAAGCCTTGTTACAGAGGGAGCGGATGTATTGAAGGCCGGTGAGAGTTCCATTTATATCATCCACATATTGGAAATTCCCATGTCTGCTTCCTGAATGAGTGAACCAATTAACAAGAAAATTCTTACTTCTGGCTTCTCCCACTCCCACCCTTACTAGTAGTGTTTGACATAAAGTGACTGATGATGAATAGTACTCAACGAATCATTAATCTCTCAGCTTTGATGTTATCGCACGTCAGTAAGACTTCAGGCATTCATAACCGCCATGTCAGCTGCTACCAGCTCCTTCCCCAAAATAAGAAGTGAAAAGCACTTGCACAAACTCCACATTATGGAGGTACGATAGGAGTGATTTCAGGGATGTGATCTCATTAACAGGTTTGGATGGTGTTTATAAACCTCGGTCTCACAGTTTAGGACATTATCTGAACTCTCTGAGATTACTGCCCTGTAATCGCTCTTGTGTACGTGCTATTCTCTATATATTTCACCTGACTTACACCAGATATGTTTGCTTTGGTTCATGGTCATAAACAGATATCTGATACTGCTCCGTGAGCTTTTCTTGATGTTTGTGTATACACAATGTTTTCATTAGTCATTGTAAAGCAACTTTCATTGAGGCCATATGCTTATTTAATATTATTGACATAATCTTGTTTTATAACACTGTTTTGTTTGCATTTTAATAAAGAGGCTGAGGAGGAAATTATTTTTGACTCTATATAAACATATAAAACATTTAATTTGCCCAATGGCAACAATTTTTTCTAGGGAGAGATAATAACTCATACTATCTCTTGTCCCATAACAAATCTCTGATGTATATGTGACAATTAAAAGTATTTCCCAAAATTAAGCTGTGTATTGGGTGGGGAGGGATATGACCCTTTAATTCACCTCTGATAAAAAATATGGTCTAAAACTGTCTTAAATTGTCAAATGATTTCCAGTCTGACCATCCCTCCAACTTAGACACAAATATGTCCTAAAACTGTCTTAGATTGTTAAACGATTTCTAGTCTGACCAAGCACCCAACTTAGACACAGTGGTTTGGCTGCCAGCTGGTTGTTGTCACTGCCAGCCACCATTTTCTTACTGGGATACCTGCCGTGCTCAATCAGAGATAGGCTGGTATCAAGTGAAGAAACATTGAAATATCGCAAGTCAAGGATAGCACCAAGACAAAACTAACACTGGTATGGAAATCAGGGAGGGGAGCAGGGATTCAAACCCCAAACCAATTAACAATGAAAGATTGCTTTGTGCCCCAATGTTTGTCAATGTAAGTATCATTCAGAATAAATATAACCTATTTTTTTCACCACACTACACTTATTTCAAGAGATACATTTCTGACACAGTGTAAAGCAACTATATGCTGCCCAATTCACAAAATCACAAGATTGGTTTGGATGAAAGAGACCCTTCAGCCCATCAAATCTCATCCCTTCAGAATACCCACCCTTTCATCCTCCCATCACGGCATTATGTTTTTTTTAAATGAATCCAGTGTCCTGAGCTGAACAACTACCCTTCCTGGCAACCTGTTCCATTCATTAATTACCCTCTAAGTAAATAAAAACGTTCTGGTATCGGTTCTGAAATTGCCACTTGCAACTCGAAACTTATGTCTAAATCTCACAGTGTACAATGAAGTAAACAGCAATGCCTCACCAAAGAGCCTGCCCTGAATAGCTAAAGACTTTTTTAAAGGCACGTAATAAATCACAATAAGTCTTCTAAGTTCTATTGTTGAACGCTTGTCTCTGTGGGGTATTTGTTCTTTATTAGAACAAATACCTCTCGCTTATTTATTAGTTTCAGAAATGAATTAATTTGTGACATGCTCTAACTGCTCTAACCATACAGCCTAATTTACAGTGTTGGTAAAGTCAGTTCATACCTTCAGTGATGTCAATAAAATGCCATGTAGTACACTGCCAGTGCTGATGCATCTCATTCCACTGTCCACCTAGGAATTATTTTTTATTTGCATTACAAATCGACATTTGCATTTGTAGCCAGTTGGAATTGTGGTTTGAGCTGAGGTCAGTTGTAATGACCATGGTGTTTTCTGTCAATTTGCTTCCTCCACAGCCAGCTAGTAAAAGACAAGTTGTGCTGGTGTTACTGTTAAAGTGAAAGTACATTGTACAGGGGATGTTTTACCTGGATTTCTGTTCATAAATCAGATACACAAAGGTTGTATTAGCGTTAATCCAGTGAAGGCTCAAAATACAATTGCTAGAAGAAAAATGTACTGTAAAGGGAACATTTCCCGAGGGAGTAGAATATACACAATTGAGTCTAAATGCATGATTGCTAAAGGATTTTTCTAAACAATAAATCCTGTTGCAAATCCTGCCAACCTGTGGCAATACTGCTCTATGAGTAGAACTCATTGGAGCAGAGGGATATTTCTTTTTGATCAACAACAACAACAAAATTACATTTGTATAGCGCCTTTCACATCAGGAGGATATCCCGAGGCGAACAGCCAGGTACCTGATACGTGCAGAAATCCATCACCATGCTTTAAAGTTTCCAAACCAGCAGAGTTCCACATATATATTGCCACCCACACATTTAAATTGTTTGTGGGATTCTCTTGTTCCATGAAGGGAACACCATGCTTACCTAATCCAAGGCTTGAAACTCAGAGTGCGTTGGTGTACTGCTGGAGATTAAACAGCACATAACTTGCCATAACATAAGAGTACTGTCTGGTAAGCTTCAATAGCTTCATACACTGCTCTTTCACCTAGGGTGAGTATTAAAATGTAAAGCTCCTACTTTACATTTTATTCCTTTGAGTCATCTGCCCCAATTTGTCGCAAAGTTGGAAATCTCACTCAGGAAAGGTTGGCTGCTGAGGGAAGTGGAAATGTCACAATGCTGTAGTGAGGATTGCTCCTCAGGATTTAAAACTGAAGTGTGTTCGGGGGCAGAGTCAAGTCAGCTTTACTCTCCAGATAGCACTGAGTATCTGAACTGGGAATGTATCCCATTCCCCAGCACTAACCTCCTGTGCGTTGCTCAGCATTTACTCTAAATGATTTTCTTGCAAAAAAAAATGAGCGTGGGAAAAGTCTAAAGGCCACAAACATTCTATTCTGAGACATAACTGGTTGTGAATTTAATTTGAATTGAAAATTAAAATATGCAATGCAGGCAAGTTTTTTTCAATCAAATGATCTTGAAAATACTGGCTCTTGAGTTGGATGTTTGTGTGCCATCCCTGGGTACTCACAGACATTAAGGCATGGATGAGTCTCAGTTTGTTGCAGCTCAACATCCCCTCACTTCCAGCTCTGACCTCCTCAATCTGCTCGACCTCTCTCTCAAACTTGCCTAAAATCTTGGAGTTCGGTTTGATCCTCAGTTATTCTTCCTTTCTCACATTCAGTCTCTAACCACTACCATTTTTCGTCTTTGCCACATTACACTGCCTCCATCCCTCTATCACACAATGCATCACCAATACCCACATTCACGCCCTTGTTGCCTCTGACTCAAGTTCTCTCATGCTCTCCTTGCATTCCTCCCTCGTTCCATCATCCACAAGCTCTGCTGCCAGCATTCTCTCACCATTTGTATGATGTTCTCCTCCCCCACTTTTCTGTTCATCTGTTCGTATTCTCGCCTCTTGAGTCAGAAGGTTGTGGGTTGCATTGTCGGAAGTGCCGTCCTTCAGATGAGATGTTAAACCAAGGTCCAATCTGCCTGTTCAGGTTGACATGGCACTATTCGAAAAAAGAAGTTTCTATCTCCCGGTGTCCTGACCAACAATCTCCCAAATAAAATCACTCACTCCATGGCTGTTGGAAGAGACATTGCTGTGCGCAATTGTGCTACCGCATTTGCCTACAAATACACAGTCACTCCATGTCACAGTAAATCCTTGCTTTTAATATAATGCCTTATCATGTCATTGAGACATCTCAAAGTGCTTCACAGGATATACTGTAAAGTGGATTGATTGTGTATTTTGTGCGCACGGCAATGTTCCACAAATAGCCATAGAGTGAATGCCAAATTTTATTTGGGAAATTGTTGGCTAGGACACCAGGGGAAACTCCCTTCTCTTTTCAAATAGTTCTATGGGATCTTTAACATACACCTGAACACCCAGGTGGGAGTTTGATTTAACCTCTCATCCGAAGGACGATGTTATTGCTAATCAAAGAGCGTTAGGGATAACTGGCTTGTGGCAGCTAAAAGTCCATAGTGGTATTGCTGCTTGCAGTGAGGGGGGGCAGCACAGTGCTATTAATCTCTTTGAACACGATAAAATTCAGTGCATTGCAAAGCATTGATGATCCATAACAAATTAGCATTACTAATATTATATTTAAAACATAGGTTGGCAACAGAATTATTTTTAGAAAGCCAGGCATTTGGTTCTGAATAAATAATTTGAATAAAGAATATGAAATGTTATCCCTGTGTACCTCAGTGCAGAATATAATAACGTCCTTCAGTAGAGTAGGGCATTCTAAAAATATCTTCCATTAGCTGCAGCTGACTAGCTTATCTTGATATCAAAGCTCTGCAATCAATACTGTTTATCTTTGAATCATTTTTGAGACCAAAATTGTACATCATACATTTTCCTTTACTATGTTTTGCCCTGAAAGACATTTAAATGACACCTTTATTTATTCCAGAAATAATGGGCCAGAGGCATGTGAAATCGAATGAGGGGTCCACGCCCACATTTTGTAAGTAATTTTCTTTGTCCCAATCTTATTTTACACCCTGTCTCTTCACAACAGTTTCCCTACATTGGGAATTTTTCTTTTTGAGCTGGTCACTGGGAAATAGGTAAGATTGGTACTGGTTTACTTGAGCAATGATTTTCACTCTTGATTCTCACTCTTGCCTGAAAAAAAGTCGCTCCTTGCTTTAGCTCTCCTTCCACCTTACCGGAAAATGTGATAATGATTCCTGTTGTAGAACATGACCATGACTGTAAAGGCAGAAAAAATTAGATAAATCAAGAAATAGATAAGTGACAGAAAACTTAAAATTATAGAAATTCACAGGACAGAAGGAGGCCATTTGTCCATTGAATCAGAGCAAACTGTTCATTCAAACCCACTGACCCACCTATCTCCAAACCCCTTCAAGTCTTTATCATTCATGTACCTGTATATTTCCCTCTTTGTCACCTCTCGGCTGGACCACTCTAACGCCCTCCTCGCCGGTCTCCCAGAGAGAGGCCGTCCGGCGTGGAGGGCGCTATATAAATCCCAGTTGTTGTTGTTCTTGAAACTTGCACTGGAGTCTACCTCTACCACCTTACTTAGCAAGGCATTCCAAATCTCATCAACTTTCTCTGTGAAAAAAATCTCCTCGGCTGACATAGGAATATCACGTCTTTGACCCTCCAAAGCAACAAGACTTGCTGAATATCTCATTTTAAATTATTCTTTACCAGGACCACATGACTGTGGAACTCCTTACTTTCACAGAGAAAGTTGATATGACCTCTAGTCCCAACTAGTGCTGTCCCCTTGGGTTTAAAGGCTATAGATTGGAACGGGAAAGAAAGGCTATATTAAGTAAAGAGTTTCACAGTCATGATAGGAGGTAATATAGACTTGGTAGCTCAATCTTAAAGGGGGTGAGTGTACAGAGAGATTGTGAGAAAAATATCTGCCTCTAGATTGACCTTACAAAATACACATTCACTGCACTATACAGTAAATCCTGTGAAGTGCTTGCAACATCCTCCCAACATGAAAGGTACTATAACAAATGCAGGGATTATTATTATTGTTATTATTATTATTATCTGAAATTATACTGAGGGTTTATAATATCCTCTACATCGTATACGGAATGTCATACAGTAAAGTAATGCTATGGATGCATGTTTTATTTCACTGACCATACTGTAGATAAAGGGACTACATTTTCTGGGTAAACAGATATACAGTAGTTTAAATGCAGTATATTGGCCTTTGTTGCATGCCAGGCTCGCAATTTTGAGTTCATGACTTTGGGAGTGACACATGGTGCTGATGGAAGCAGCACATTTCAGATGAGACTTGAAACCAAGGCCCTGTCCATCTGTTCAAATGCATGTTAAAGATCCCATGATACTGTTGTTCGCGCCAGCGCCTCAGCACCTCAGGCTCTGGCAGCATCAACCTCCAGGTTCCACACTACAACTCACCAAGTCAGTCAGGAACCTAAGTGTCTTGTTCGACCCTCAACTGTCTTTTCTTCCCCACATTCAAGCCATGACCCGCTCTGCCTTCCCGGACCTCCGTAACATCGCCCAACTCCGCCACTACCTCACCCCTCAAGCCTCTGAAACTCTTGTTCATGCCTTCATCACCTCCTGGCTCAACTATGCAAACACCCTGCTTGTCGGCCTTTCCAACTCCTCCCTCCACACGCTGCAGATAATCCAGAACTCTGCAGCGCATGTCCTCTCCCGCACCAAACTCTGTGACCCCATCTCCCCCACTCTCGCCCGACTCCATTGGCTCCCTATCCTTCAGAGGATCCAATTCAAGATCCTGGTCCTCACATGCAAAGCCCTCCATGGCCTCGCCCCACCCTACCTCTGCGACCTCCTAACCCCTTATCAACCCGCCCATTCCCTCCGCTCAGCCGGCTCTGGCCTGCTTCACGTCCCCCGACCCACCCGCCCCACCAATGGCGGGAGAGCCTTCAGCCACTCTGCCCCCAATCTCTTGAATTCCATCCCCCAGTCACTCCGCCTTGCCCCCTCCTTAGCCTCCTTCAAGTCCCACCTCAAGACCCTCCTTTTTGATCATGCCATCAGCCACCCACCTTCTTCTCCCTTCCCTTTCCCCTCCCCCACCCCCCTCCAACCCCAGCTCGGGTCTGAAATTCTGTATTCTCGCCAGCGCCTTGGGATGTCCTCCCGATGTGAAAGGTGCTATACAAATGTAATCTTGTTGTTCTTGTTGCTAAAGAGTTTTTACTGGTGTCTTGGTCAACAATCCTCATGGTTGTTTCTGGGAACTTGCTGCAGAAAACAACTGCCATGTTTGCTGACTAAAAGAATTGGTTCACAAGACAATATTGCCGATGAAGTTTGAGCCATTCTGACACATTAAGGTGTTATAAAGATACAAATTATTTCCTTTCAAAGACTCACATTAATTATATATCAGTGTGAGAGAATACACCAATTTGAACTGTACCCCTCACAGCATATCCTTGCCTTCAAGGCCCTCCACGGCCTTGCCCCTCCCTACCTCTGCAACATGCTAAACCCATATCAAACTGTCCCCATTCCCTTTGCTCAGCAGGCTGAGGCCTACTCCACGTCCCCCACCCGGCCCACCCCACCATCGGCGGTCGGGCCTCCTTGTCATCCAAGCCTTTGGCCACCCTCTTTCCCTCCCTGCTCTCCGCCCTCCCCGATCCCGACCCCCAGCTCGGGTTCAAATCCCTGACTGTCCAGCATCTTGGGACGTCCTCCTGACATGAAAGGCGCTGCACAAATGTAATTGTGTGTCTTCAATCTACCTTGGATGGTCAATAATGATTTTTATCAATGCCATAGTCTGCCTCCTGATTGCTAGTTAGATGGAAGCTCTGTACATGACCTTTTCGCTCATAGTATTGCACATATTCTAAAATAGAGAAAACTATCTTATATTTCTGAGGAATAACATAGATGTTATGGTCACTTTGTAATTTGTTCACCATGTAAAAATTGTGCTTATAGAATCATAGTGTGCGACAGCACAGAAACAAGCCATTCACGTCTGTCCTGATGCTTTTCTCCACATGAGCCACCTTGTTTAATCCCACTCTACAGCTCCCTCTCTCTGTTGTCATTAATATTCTGCTTTCTGAGGAATATATCTAATTCCCTTTTAATTGCTCATTCGTATATGGACACTGCTGGCCTGACTGGGAAAGCTTCATAGTATTCCTAGATTGTTCTATGTCTCTCTTGCTCGACTGCTTATGTGTTGTAGACTGTGAGAATCTCTTTACCTGCCCTATTGCCATATGCCTTTGGAACTGACCGTTGCACACTTGAAGATACTAGATAAACAGATATTTAAATCTTTCCATTATGATTTATATGCCTTAGGTACCCAGAATCTCTTATCTCACTTATCATGAATCTACACTTCCGAGATCACCAGAAATATAGAAATGTGTCCGCTTGCCATTCTGAGCAGTTTAAAGAAAAGACATAATAATAATAATAAATCTTACATTTGATATAGCGCCTTATCATGTCTTCGAGACATCTCAAAACGCTTCACAGAATATACTCTAAAGTGAATTGGCTGTATATTTTGTGGGTGAAACGCAGCAGCCAATTGTGCACAGCAGTGTCCCACAAACAGTCATGGATTGAGTGACCAAATTATTATTATTTTATTTATATTTATTTTGAAGGGATTATTACATTATTACATGAAAAGTCCATGACATCTTAGCGTCACACACAATATCCCCCACTAATATATGCCAGTTGTGGGTCTACTTTTCCTCTGTTTGTCATTAAGTCGTGTTTACACTAATCGGACCGCTACCAGGACCAGCATTGAACACAAAGCTAAGTTACCGTTTATTTGTAAGGTTTGTTCCTCAGAGAGATGAGGAAGTGTGAAGGTTTGTGTGAAGGTTTCCTCATTACAATGATAACTAAAATATTTATATACAAAAACAATTGTCCTAACAGCAACAAATTACATAGTTTAATTCTGTTATTAAATATCAGTGGTTGAATGGGTCCATTTCCTAATCCATGTCAGTGATAATGTGGATAACAATAGCTCTCTCAGTGCTCTCTGGAGCTACCTATATTAATATGGTTTGTAACCTAATTCCTGTCTGTACCCCTCCAAAAAAAATTGCTGAAATTTGTTTACACTGCAGCAAAATGTTAGGGAAAATGGTATGGGTAGAAATTAAGGTATATAATGATAATTATCATTGGTGATAAATGTCAAATCATACACCGCTTTTCCTTCCCTCCTATCGCATAGTATGTGGAGCACTTTGCAATCAGCTTTTTGATTTTTATATCTGAAAACAAAGTTAGGACACAACGTCTTTGTGTTTTTCCATGAGACATCTAAATTTAAATAACGGTTGCTCTGTGTTTATGCTGTGGTTCTGGTTGAGAATTTCTACTGGTTCTGTCTATGTCGGTAACTGGCTGTTGTGCATTATACAAGCAAGAGAATTGATAGACTGAATTCAGACACCTGATATTATCCAAGTGTAGTCATTTTACACTGAAACAAATGTCTCTCAATGTTTTTTCTTTTATCTTTCTTTTCATTCCAGTGAAAAACACCACCTGCAAGCTTGTAACAGTTTAGTGTAAGATCAAAGCAATGATAATCTGTTTGGTTTTATTCTTTCTGACTGAGACAAGCAGGCTGCTCGATTTGAAATCTACTATCATTTCATCTTGAAACATACCAATGCACTGCAACGGTATTTTAAACCACTTATCTGAAAAAAAATTCTCAAAAAAGAAAGGTTCTACTACAAAACTATTGAGGCTTGTTTCAAATTTTTTTTACAAAACCTTTCAAAATAACAGCAATTTCAAAACTTTATACTGTTAAACAAATTTAGCTATGAATCAGTAATGTTTTTTTACCAACATTTTCCTAGAAATTCAAAGAAACCGTCACCTCCTGTTCACTTTTTTAAAGACATTTATTTTTGTTATTTCTTCTTTGACCATGTTGAAATTATT